CACACACACACACACACACACACACACACAGGTATAAGGCTGGCTTTATTTGCATCAACTGTCAAGAGGATCTTTGTCACCTGCTTTAGATTTTTGTAAAGACATAAGAATTGGGCTTCTGGAAAATGTGTGGACAATAGCTGAGAGTGTCCCACTGTTGCTATGCCAACAGTCCCAGTGAGAGGGCTACATGTTGGGGAGAAGAGTCCAATACATCTAAACCTACAAAGAAATAAGCCAACATTTATACTCTCCTTCCTCCCGCAGGACGGGGACAGCCAGAACGGCGTGAATGGCGGCCATGATGAGGACACGCCCCTTTGCCTGGCCGCCGTCCAGAAGCTGGGCCAGTACATAAAGTTCAACTTCCTGGATAGCGACGCGGCCCCGCCCCCCGGCCCGCCCCCCCGCGGCGAGTGGGTGGACGTGGAGGTGCACGCCGTGTCCCTGCGGAAAGGCCGGGGGGACGGGCCCGAATTGGGCCTCAGCTTCGGGAACATCCCCATTTTCGGGGATCCCCAAGTCAGGAGGAGGGGCGGGTCGAGGAAGAGGAGGGAGCGGGGGCCCGTGGTGGACGTGGGCTGCATCTGGGTGACGGAGGTGAGGAAGAGGAGCCCGGCGGCCGGCTGCGGCCGCATCCGGCTCCGGGACGAGCTGCTGTCCCTCAACGGGCAGCTGATGGTGGGGGTGGACGTCAGCGGAGCCAGGTGAGCCGCATTTTTCATTTTTTCTTTGGTTCTTATTCAATTCCTGCCTCTTTTCCTGTCTTTAGTTTCCTTCTCATTGTTTTTCTGCTCATTCACCGGATTTATTGTCGTTAGCCGTCTCAGCATAAATACTTTATACAGTACCACAGTGTTTTTCAACCTTTTTTGACCCAAGGTAAATTTCTTCATTGAAAAAATCACGAGGCACACCACCAACCAAAAATGTCAAACAAATCTGTAGCCGCCTATAGTAACACTATAGTTATTCTTATTTTATCTTAAGTTTCTTGAATAGGAATCAAATAAACACAAAAATGTATTTTTATCAAATTTTATATTTCTTCTTTCAAAGTGCTCTTAACATGTCCACTTCAATATGCAAAATTAAATACAAAATCTAGTCATAAGGAATTATTACATGATTACGCCACCAGTCACTAGAACAGCACAGACACTCAGAAATGGCATATTATTTGCAGATAATTAATTCCTTATCCAAAAATCTTTTTAGACCAATTAGGTGAAATAGGATGATTTTCTACGGCACACCTGACCATCACTAACAGAACACTAGTGTACCGAGGACCAGTGGTTGAAAAACACTGCAGTACCATATGCTTTCCATCAATCTTATTTGGAGACATTGCAGAGTTTTATCAGGAGCAGCATGGAGGACTGTTCATATTTGAAAGCTAAAGCTTCCTGTAGTTGTTCACAGACATTGCTGATTGGGTAAAAAGCTGAGAGAATCAGCACTTACTTCTCAGTTTGAGAAGAAAAATTTAACATTTACACGAAATTAAATTGAAAAAAAAAAAGGTCTTTTATGTTTTTTTTATACTAATCTAATCCTAAAGTTTAGTTTAGTTTAGTTTAGTTTTATTAGGATCCCCATTAGCTGCCAAATAAATGGCCACTAGTCTTCCTGGGTGCCTCACATGAAGAAATTACATTACATTATGAACACACCATTAAAAAAAATCACATTAGGGAATAATAGGAACATGAAAAAGAGTAGAAATATACAGCATATATACACAGGTCAGTTCATCATATCATCTGCAGTAGTTCTGAAGACGGTATCTTTTTTAAGCTTGAGACTGGCATTAATCCAGCCGTTTGTTGTTGTGACTATGAAAGCATACGAGGGGTGTGTCAGTGCTCTTTCTGCTATGTTTGAAATTCCCAGATGTGATCCACACTTGTCCCTTTTAGTAAATGAAATGCATAGTGACTGAGGTGGGAACTTGGCTTTTCTCTCCGGACTCATGGGAATGAGAAAATAAATATAATTTGCGAGGTTTGTTTATATTTGAATGTGCAAAAGAGAAAAGTCAGATAAAGTCTAGATGTGTTTCAGTTATTGGTTTGAAACTGTGGAATGAATTGAATGATGAATTTAAGTTATGTCCTTTCTTGGTGACCTTTAAAAGAACTTTAAAATGTAAAATGATAAAATCTTACGCTGTTATGTAGATCTATATATGTACTATGTACTTGAATCTGAATTTGAAGAAATCCTGGTAGGTTGTAAGGTTAAAAAATAGGGTAGGCAAGAATAAGCTTTGCTTCGGCCTATTCCTTTTTTGATAAACTGTGGGTTTGTCTATTGTTTTTTTTTTCATTTGTTGTTTCTTGTGTTTAATGTGGACAATTTACCAAAATAAAGTGATTGATTGATTGATTGAATGAGGATGGCCGCCCACTCTGAGCCATGGTTCTGCTCCAGGTTTCTGCCTGTTAAAGGAAGTTTTTCCTTGCCTGTGTCGCCTAGTGCTTGCTCATGGTGGGAATTGTTGGGTTTCTGTAATTAACTTCAGAGTAGGTCTGACCTGCTCTGTTTGGAAAGCGCTGTGAGGCAACTGCTGTTGTGATGTGGAGCTATTTAAATAAAATAAAATTGAATTGAATTGAATTGAATGGGAATGACAGTGGGTCTCTTTCCAGCTTCCTGGCGGATCAGTGCTGGAATGGAGGCGGGGTCTACCTGATCCTACTGCGCCGGGTCAAGCGAAAGGCTCCCCTCCCCCCCCGTTGTCCCGCTGAGGGTCCCGTCTGTCCGTCCAGTCCAGACCACTGCGAGGAGGAGCCGGACCGGGGGCAGGGGGGGGGTCCCCGGCCGTCTGCAGACGGACCCGGAAGCTGGGCGTGTCGGCGCGTTCGGCCCCCCCCCACGACGCCCCTGACCCAGACGGGAAGAGCCCCCAGGGAGAGTTCAGTCCCACAGGGGAAGACCCGGGTCCTATCCTCAGAGAGGAGGGTCCGGACTCTGCCCCCCAGGAGAGAAGCGTTCGCCCCCATAGGGAAATCGCCGCTACGCTGCCCAGCAGGAGCTCCGGTCAGCTGCTAGAGTCCAAGAGCAGCTCCTTCATCAGCGAGCCCTCGAACCAGGTACCCCTCCAATCACGTGACACCTGGGAAAACCTGTGCGGGGGCTGGGAGTTAGTAGATGATTGGTGCGCGACACCCAGTTGAAAGCCGGCAAAGTTTGGGCCGATTTCTTCACAGTAATCTATTTTCACAGTCATTTTTTTTTTTTTTTTATTCCTGTGTTTGTGTGATTTATGAGCTAGAAGTCCAAAAATATGTGACAGTAAACAAATAAATAGATACTTGAAATTGTTTAAATTATGGGCCACAAATTTAGCTTTTTGAGAGGAATCATGGAATTTAAACAACTTTTCTATGATATACAAGTTTTTTTCAAGGGTCTGTACGTATATCTATAAACTATAATCAATGAAAGTTTAGCTTTTTTTAATGGAATCATGGAATTTAAACAACTTTTCAATGATATTCAAGTTTTTTCAAAGGGTCTGTACGTATATATCTATAATCTGTGAAAGTTTAGCTTTTTGAATGGAATCATGGAAATTAAACAACTTTTCTATGATATACAAGTTTTTTAAAGGGTCTGCACGTATATCTATAATCTATGAAAGTTTAGCTTTTTGATAGGAATAATGGAAATAAAACAACTTTTGTATGATATTCAAGTTTTTTTAAAGGGTCTATACGTATATCTATAATCTATTATTTATGAAAGTTTAGCTTTTTGAGAGGAATCATGGAAATTAAACAACTTTCTATGATATTCTAGTTTTTTTAAAGGGTCTGTACGTATATCTATAATCTATAATCAATGAAAATTTAGCTTTTTTGAATGGAATCATGAAAATTAAACAAATTTTCTATGATATTTTAGTTTTTTTAAAGGGTCTGTACGTATATCTATAATCTATAATCTATGAAAGTTTAGCTTTTTGAATAGAATCATGGAAATGAAACAACTCTCTATGCTATTCTAGTTATTTTAAAGGGTTTGTACGTATGTATATGTATATATATTAGAAAATAACATGTATGGATAACATATTTATGAAACACATGGATGGATGGATTCCTTCAGGTTTTGTTTGTGCTCTCTCTCTTAGCTCAGCGATGGCAGCCACATCTGGAAGATGCATCTGGTGAAGAATCAGGAGGGTCTGGGCATCCACATCACAGGGGGCCGCGGCTCCAAGCGCTCCCCTCACGGCATCATCATAGCGCACATAGAGGAGGGGGGGGCTATCCACAGGTGCGCTTCACCAGATAGTACCAGACATCTGGGTAGTCTGAGCAGAAGTCAGAAGTTCTTCGGTTCTTCTGACCCGTGCACGGCTGTGTGTGCCACAGGGACGGACGCCTCCACGCCGGCGACGAGCTGCTGATGATAAACGGTCAGTCCCTGGTGGGCCTGACCCACCAGGAGGCGGTGGACGTGCTCCGCTCCACGGCCGGCCTGGTCCAGCTGGTGGTGTGCTCCTCGGTGAGTCCCTGTGGTGATTTATCTTTACTATGATTCACTCCTCTGGCTCATACCCCAACAACAGCCAGAGGTGGCACCCTGACGGTAAACATCTAACACATCTGAACACACTAGCATGAACCATCTGGTCTCCATGAAAGCTGCTGGTTCCTGGAGCCATAAAACACCTGTGTCTGCATTAGATTAGATCAGAACTTTAGGAGGGTTCCTCAGGGAGAAGAAGAGGTCCTGTTCCTCTAAAAGAACAAGCTTCCTCTGTCATAATGCCTTCAGCGTTGGCCCGTATGGTTGTCCCTGTTTGGTTGTCCCTGTTTGGCCCTTACTGACCTGTCCAGGGGGTGTCCCGATATGGGCTTTAGCCCCCCTCCCTGCAACCCTGCTTGGAAGAGGGTTGGAAGGATTGACATATTGCCTTAACTTTACCAAAGCATAGCCCAAAAAAACATATTTTTAAGTCAGTCGTCACTGCTAACAAGAGGATTGTTTCAGGAAGTGGGGGTGTGTCCTGGTGGGGGGGTCTGAGAGCGAATGCCACTGTGAGGTTCACGCAGATTAAAGCAGCAGTTAGCTTTTTCTCAACCTCCATTATTGTGATGGACAAAGAGGACAAAGATCTTGCATATCCATCCATTGTCATAACTGCTTATACCCTAATGGGGTCGCGGGGGGGGGGGCTGGAGCCTATCCAGTGGTCAATGGGCAAGAGGCAGGGTCACCCTAGACAGTCCGCTAGTCCATCACAGGGACACACAGAGACACACAAGGACCAACAACCACACACACTCACACTAAGGGCAGTTTGGAGTCCAACCAACCTAACATGCAGGTTTTTGGAGGGTGGGAGGAAGCCGGAGAACCCGGAGAGAACCCACAGACACAGGAGAACATGCAGACTCCACGCTACATCATTTAGTATCCATCCCAGCCAGGATTAAATCATTCATGTAGTTCGTTCTTTCTTTCATTCATTCGCAAATTTCTTCGGTGTATTTTACTAAAATACATTTTCTTTGCATTACTGGGATTTTTCGATCCAGTAAGAGTCTTTAAATGTTTTTTTTTGTCACCATTCGATTGGAAGCTCTTTCCACCATAATCTTTCAAGTAATAATGATCGTGCAGCTATAGTTTTTTTTCCTTTTTAAAATGTCTGACACCCAAAGCTAAAGTTTTTCGTCACACGTGTAACGCACTTTCCTTTCATGTCTAATTTGCCGCATGTTTAAATGAAAATGGGATCCCGTGTGTTTTGGTCCCTGCAGGCGGAGTCAGAGGTGGACTTTGAGCCGTTCCCGTCCACCAGTCTGCCAGACCTAGTGAGCACCTGCAGGTCTTCCTCCCACTCCCAGACTCCTCCCATAACTCCCCACAGCTCCCAGCAGGTACGCACATTTCTACACCTGTGTGGACAGAAGCATGTCCTGACTGACTAACCCTAACCCTGTGATCTGCTGTCTTTTATTGTGATATTTGGGAATTGCTTTTGATTCGTGGTAAACAAACTGGTGGCCATTTCGTCCGAACTTGCCGAATGAAGAGTTGTTTCATCCAGAAAGGGGGGGGCTCATAGTGGCTATCGTTGAATAAATAAAACATAGTAACTCGTCTGTGTGTCTTTGCAGTCGACCGGCCTGGATAAAAAAGAGGAGTTGAACCAGGAGGAGGGACCCAAACGGTCCTGCTGCAGTCCCACCACCATGAAGCTGCTCAGCCAGTCCCAAGGTTGGTGCTTCATGGAAAACAGAAATCTTAAGATACCTTTAAACGCTAGTGACTCCAGGTATTACTTTTGCCATTTCCCTGGTTTGTGTCGACACTCCCAATACATGTAAACAAGTCTTTTGTTCTTTTTTAAAAACTTTCCCGCAACATGCACTCTTCACCTTAAATTTCTAAAGAAACAAGAGGGGCTCTTTAGTGGATCATCTCTTTACGATGTTCTGTGACTACTCTGGAACAGCGTTTCCAGCTCTGCTTTGTTCGGATGACTGCCGTCCCTCCTGTTAATGGTTTTTCCAACCTGTGCATCTCTTTGTTTTACTTATGGACGGAATGCTGTGATATATTATTTTTTAAAGAGTTTAGGTAGGCCTTACTAAAGTCTTCTTAGTCCTAGGGTTCGGGGGGCCCCCGCCCTACGTGCCTAGGTCCCTGCTTTAAAACAGGAGATTGACTTAGTTCCATCCGAGTCACTTATTGGTTGAGCAGAGACCTAGACCTTCACTCTCCATTGCCACTTCCCCTTGGCCTTTTTTTTTTAGATATCTTAAGAACAATGCAGGAAAAAAGAAGATATTGATGAAAAGTTTGGTTTGGTTGAATCAACTCTCTTCTACGGCTGATAAAAGAATGACTAGAGAGGCTGTTGCAACCATCCGTCTTATTGCATTCCACCCCCACCCTTGAAAAACACCCTGAGAGGTTTTACAAGAAGGGGATGAGCATGCTGTATTTTCTAAGGAAGCTCACAGCTTTCAGGGCTGGAAAACGTCCTCCAGTGTTGGTTCTGTTGGGATCAGAGATGCTACCAGACTCACTAATTCATCACCACATCCCCCCCATCAAACACCTCAGAGGAACTGGAGCTCCTTCTCCAACAGATTATATCGACTTATTTTGTTATAATTTTGATTTTCATGTTTAACATTTCTTTATTGAACCCTATTTACTTGCTACTGGAACAAAACAATCCGTAAAGTACCTATCAATCTGTTGATTGATCTACGGTGGAACAGCAGCATACATTTCAGAGTAATGAGTATAATTGTTGTGTCACTGAGGACCAGGTTGGACTTGTTTCTTTGCTCCGGTCCAGGGGGAGGCGGGCGGCTGGAGTCAGTGGGCGAGGACGATGAGCTGCTGGTGGAGGCCACCCCCGGTGCCTGTGAGGGGGCAGAGAAGCCCCCGCCTGGACGCCGCAAGCACTCGCTACCCCAGCAGCTGGACGCTGCTGGACTACGGCAGGTCGGTGTCCCCCATCCCCAACCCATGTCATCATGAAATTATATAATAAGGACGATGAAGATGAAGATGGACCAGTTGGGCTCTGGTGTTCTCACACTAGACATTTGATACTAATTGGTAGAGAGTTTAGATGCATTCAAACGGAGGAGAACTTGATAAAAACGTGAAGAATTGCTGCATATTTTACGAGAAGCTGGAAGCTAATGACTGACAAATCCAACAAAACTAAAATTTGTTGATGCCTCGTAATGCTTTTTACTTTACACTTGCAGTTACAATCAAAGCAGGTCCAAACATAGCACCAATAGGAATGAACCACGTGTTTAACACACAGTTTGTAATTTCAGGACTTATAAGTGGCATGTCTCATGTATGTACTAAAGGTGTGCTGCATGTACACACACTTTATTAACTCATTGACTGCCAGTTTTTTGAGCACTTTGACTGATTTTTCAAGAGCCACAGAATAGTTTGTGCTATGACTATGTAAACACCGAACACACCAAAAGAAAGAGTAGACTCTCTTCTTTCATCAGGAAAAAAGAAATGTTTTTATCTTATTCCGTTCTTCCTGGACTTGCGTCTCACCGGCGACATGTTCTCTCATATCGAACCGTTACGTTTTTCTTATTTGCCTACAGTCTATGCTCATCCCCCATCAAAAGTGGCACTGCCCCCTAGAGGGTCAATTTGTTACTACATACTCTGTCTAGAAGCCGATATTTACGGACAAGCTTTTGCAGATCGTCCCCCAGACACTCTCGTTGAAAAACATAAAACACGTCTATAGACGTCTTTGGCAGCCAATGAGTTAACATACACACTTAAACAGCAATCTTGAAAAAACATGTTCCATGTAAACGTGGTTCACTTTGTACAGGCTAAGCAACCAAAACCAGTTACTGATACAGTTTTAGCCTTAAAAAACAGTTGGTGTCCAGGACCGTTGTCCCCATGTGAACTGCTTGTCCTTAAACATAACGATTATACAGGAGCCAGGCCTAATTGGCTGGCAGAACAATACCAAAGACGGTCAGGACAAAAAGTACAAAGAGACCTCAATGATCGCTATTAAAACAGAAGCAATAGAGAGGACAGTGGAAAGAAAAAAGCAGAATGACCTACACAGCAGAATACAGTATACACAGTGTATTATATCATATATAGTGAATAAATCAGCGTTGTAACAGTAAAGCTGAACCGAAGAACATTATCCTGACAGTGTAAATGAAAAAACTGAACTTGAATTTACCAGAAAGATAGCTTTACTCATCATTATTTTTCTTTTATACTCATCCCTCCTGTAGGAATATCAGATAATTAAGAAATCAGCCCGCTCCCTGAGCACCATTCAAGTAGAGTCTCCATGGCGACTGGCGCAGCCATCCATTATCTCCAGTATCGTGCTGATGAAAGGCCAGGGAAAGGTAAGTGCACCCCTTTGACACATATGCATAAATAAAGTCCGGAGTCTGTTTTTTAATGTGTACCAACATGATTTAGCAACTGTGGTACCGTGTTTTTTCTTTTAAAAGACCCTCAGTTACAGTGAGGCAAGAATAGCCTCATGTGCTAACTAATGGGTCCTCAAAACTTTTTGTGTAGCAGTAATAAATTCTTAGAAGCAGAACTGATATGGCAACATAACCTGAAATAGATGTGGTATATCTTTGGGAAAGAACATTTGGGAATTGATTTATTTTACCTTAAGGTTTGTGTGGAAATATTGCTTTACAAGTTCTTTTCAGTTATGTTTCAGTTACATCAATAGGGAGGAATGACTGTATTTGAATGGATGTGGTTTCTAGTCATCGAAGGTAAATTAGTTAACATGTTTTAATAACTGTTTTTATCAATCCTTTCTTGTTCTCAACTCTACTCTACAAGGTCTATACAACCATTTATAAGGAGAACTTGTGCCTAAACACAGAAAGCTTAAAGAGTCCCAAAAAATCAACAGACAGGGTCAGGATATCTGTCAGTACAGAGCAGCAGACAGCATAGATACCCGGGCACACTTTGAGAAGAACCATTTTAAATTAGGCAAAATAAATCCATGTGACCAGACAACATCCATCCATTTCTGAACAACTTATTCCCTAATGGGGTCGCGGGTGGACTGGAGCCTATCCCAGTGGTCAATGGAGTAAATCCTGGACGGTTCGCTAGTCCATCACAGTGTCACACAGAGACACACAACCACACACTCACTCCTAAGGGCAGTTTGGAGTGTCCAACCAACCTAACATGCAGGTTTTTGGAGGGTGGAAGGAAGCCGGAGAACCCGGAGAGAACCCACAGACACAGGAGAACATGCAGACTCCACCCAGAAAGGTCCCGGGTTCGAGTCCCGGTTCCCCCGGAGACTCAAATCCAGAACCCTCTGGCTGTGAGGCCAAACCACCATGCTGCCTGAACAGACAACATGAAATAACAGATCCAAACCTACTTTTCACAGGGCCTTGGATTCAGTATCGTCGGTGGGCAGGACTCGGCCCGTGGGCAGATGGGGATTTTCGTCAAAACGATTTTCCCTCACGGGGCGGCAGCAGCCGACGGACGGCTGAAAGAAGGTAATCATTTCACCTTCACCTATTGGCTACACTTCAGAGGACCACCACAGTATGGAGTCGGCAATGTATGCTATGATATTCCTGCTTCTCCATGAGTTACCGGAACCATGTTCCATTCATGTTCCCAACCGGTGCTATGGGACTGTGGGGAACTGGAAGGGCATTTTCAAGCCGTCCTGTCCCTGAATAAGCAAAGAAACAGTTCTGTCCATGGTCTTGGCAAAAGGTTGAGATGGTTTAGTGTGTTGGACTCCATCCTGAGGATAGAAAGGAATCACTGAGGGCGTTCATCGGGTTTAGGATGCTTCCAGTACCTCCCTTTGGAGGTTTTAAGACATGTTCAACTGGCCTGGGATGTTTTGGGGATCTCCAAAGAGTTTTATTGGGTTTCCATGCTGGTCTGTGGCAAAAAAGATCACACTCCGATGGGAATCAGGTTATACGTAAAAGAGCAAGTCAGCATCTCTTAGTGGGTTGTGCAGAACATACTAACCGTTGGCATGCATTAAACTGATAACTGGTTAAACTGGAATATGGCTCTACATGTAAAGATACAGCGTTGCACTGGGTAAAAGGAGAGTAACATTATTTTACACTGGTGATTTGTCTTCACACAGTTCTAACGGTGCTTTTGCCCCTGTAGGAGATGAGATCCTGGAGGTGAATGGAGAGTCTCTGCAAGGACTCACACACCAGCAGGCCATCCAGACCTTCAAGGTGGACTCCAATTTCACATTTCAAAATGGTTTTTATTAACGTTGTTTGGAACGTTGAAAATGTTTCATATTTTCTACAAAGTTCTTGACCCTTTCCCACTAACATAACACAGTGTTCGACTTATTTAAAGTGCTTTGTATTATACTTATAAAGTATACTTATATACTTACATATAAAGTAACTTGATTAACTTGATGAACGAAGTTTGTTTGAAGAACTTCCTGTTTTTCCGGATGATTTTGGAAAATGCTCATTCTGAAGCAGTTCAAGTCGGTTTGTTTTTTCCTTTTTCGACTGACCTCATTTCCCTTTTCCATCAGCAACTGAAAAAGGGGGTCATAACCCTGACCATCCGAACCCGTCTGCGCAGCCCCAGCCTAACGCCGTGCGCGACCCCCACCCTCCCCAGCCGCTCCAGCTCCCCCAACTCCAACACCAGCAGAAGCCCCCCCGTCCCCCCGGCAACGGAACACCCAGAGGGCCTCAGGCCTCCTGGCCCCGGGTCAAAGGACTGCATCATCATGGAGGTTACCCTTAATAAAGGTGAGCCCACAGACTCATTAGACACAGGTGATCTAACTGGTTTAGGTAACAAAACATAGACATTTTGGGTCCATGGCCTGGAAACTCCCCATTGAAAACTTGTGGTCAATCATCAAGAAACGGGTGGAAAAAGGAAAACCTAGGAATTCTGACAAAATTCAAGCATTGATTGTATTTCTGTATGTGACGACAACATCTAACATACACACATGAAAACCAGAGGGCAGCAGATCATGTGAAAATATAATATCTGTGTCATTCTCAATACTTTTGGCCATGACTGTACATAGTTAAGTTAAAAAAATGAAAATGAAAGAGGGTTCGGTGCAAAATATTCAGAGGTTAAAAGTCTTCTTTAGTTTCAAATGAATTAGAATCATGCCACTTTGACAGAATATTTTACACAATTATTTTATTTGTATTTGTTTTTCTATAAAAAAAACAGATCAGGAGAATGTTATTTCCGGGGTCAGGCTATTGTGACTTTGGGGGGAGGATATAAAAGGGGGATCAGGTCAGTAGGGACGCGACTTGAGTAGAGGAAACAAGTTTTTTTTTGTGTTTGTCGATAAAAATGTATTCTCCAAACTATCTGTAGCCCGTCTGTTCCACGCCTCGGTAAGGAAGAAACTTAGAGACTTAGACTTAGACTTAAACTTGTACTTTATTAATCCCTTGGGAAGACTCCCTCAGGAAATTAAAGTTACCAGCAGCTTACGCGGCAAAAAAGTGGCACACAGAGAGCAAAATGCAAAAAAATAAAAAAATAAAAAATACAGATTAAGTACAGGTACACACTAAATGTGAATAGCCCAAAAAATACAAAGTAAAAAATAAAAACCCCTAAATTAAGCAAAAATAAGCAAAGAATAACAACATAAATACGACGTGAAAAAAAGACCCCTAAGAAAATATAGGAGTTTGGCAGATAGATTGACCAGTGATATGGTATTGCACTCTGCGGTTTGGCCCTTATATCTATGGAGTTCACATTTTACAGAAAATACAAGCGTTACACCACCATAGAACAGAGTCCGGCTGAACAGACCGATGTCCCGGTGACAGGATGTGGATGTGAAATGGACTGCGTTAGTCTTTTTAGGCCTCATCGATAACCCCCAGAACAAAGGCCAAACCACAAGAGAAATACAACCTGTTAACACCTTGCTTTTTCCTAAATAGACTTAGACTTAGACTTAGACTTAGACTTAGACTTAGACAGTACTTTATTGATCCCTTGGGAAGACTCCCTCAGGAAATTAAGGTTACCAGCAGCTTAAAGGGCAGAAAGTATCAATTTAGAATTAAATTAGGCAGAAAAATACAAATAAATAAATAAGTAAAAATACAAAAAATGCAGATTAAGTACAGTGTAGGTAATATCTCTTCCCCCTGTCCTGGTTCACCTCCTCGCCCCCAGTGAGGCGTTTACAGTCTGATGGCGTGGGGGACAAAAGAGTTCTCAAGTAAAAATATAATGTATTTAAATATAACGTACTCATACACTTCTGAACGCATGTGGTGTTCAGACTGGTCCGGCCCTTTGGCTGGTAGGCCGCTGCCCCCCCCCCCCCCTTTGAGGCGGGAGCAGTGACCGGACCCGTCCAGGCAGATGTTTGCATCTGTTCCCGGCTCAAATCCCCCAGCTGGTGCCGGATAAGGACGGGGCTCACAATCTGTGCCGATGCCGTCATCCTTTTCTTTCTCCGGGACAATCCTTTCTTTATGCATCACGCTGGCTCACAGACACTGGAAAAATCTCCTGTTCCTCAAACTCCAGAAAACACAGAACCAGAACCAATCCACGTCTGGGGGGGCTGGGGTCCACATTAATATGCTCTTGTGTGCTGTGGTCTTGGCAGATAAAATCATGTTAATAATTACGGGAGATGTACAGTAAAGTACTGTACTTAAGTACCAAAATGCAGTATCTGTACTTTATTGGAATATATATATTTTTTCCCTACTTTTACTTTTACTCCACTACATATTTTTGATTATTTTAATACTTCTACTCTGATGGATTTTTAACGGGCTGAATCGTTGCTCGTTACATACTATTATTCCGCAGTAATTTGCCATTTGGATAATGGCTAATTTGGGCATTTTGTGATCCAAGTAGGTGGATTTATGACGGTTTCTTCTGCTTTTTGGAAACAACGTGATGCTTCATGTTGATGCTTCTGGGCTGTTCCAACTTAAGGTTCTCCACCAGGCTTAACTCGCCCCTCTGGCCTTTTGAGATGTTTTATTTGTGTTTTATTTTCGGTTTTTTGTTAACACCTGTATGGCCTTTCACACGTTTGAAATAATACAAATATCTATCAAACTTTTGACTGCCTTTTTTAATATATACAGTACTTCTACTTTTACTTTCGATACTTGAGTAGCAATTTTTTAAATACTTCTACTTGCAATACTTAAGTACAAAAAAAACTGAGTACTTCTGTATTTCCTCTTAAGTATGGAGTTGAAAGAACACTTCAACTTTTACTCAAATCCATTTTTTTATATAATACTTGTACTTCTACTCCAGTACTTCCTACATCTCTGATAATTACAGCACGCTTTTAGGAAAGCGCTCCTTTATTCCCTCTTCCGGTGGTGGTCCTGACCACCTGTTGTGCGACTGTTGCTGGCTGTTTCAGAGCCGGGTGTGGGTCTGGGGATCGGGGTGTGCTGCCTGACTCTGGGGAGCGGCGCTCCTGGCATCTACATCCACAGCTTGGCTCTGGGCTCTGTGGCCAAGATGGACGGCAGGCTCAGGTAAAGCGCCAAATTCATATTTCAGCTCGCAGCAACCGGTGCACGCCGTGCACTCACCGTGTACTTTGTTTGCAGTCGGGGAGACCAGATCCTGGAGGTGGACTCGGTCAATCTTCGCCACGCCGCTCTGAGTGAAGCCTACGCCATTCTGAGCGAGTGTGGCCCCGGACCGGTCAGTCTCATCATAGGCAGGCACCCTGACCCCAAGGTAAGAGCCAGTCGGCTGATCTCTTTTTCATGTTTATTGGAGCATTTAATAGTCAGTAACACACATGCAGATGCTGTCTCATACACACACACACACACACACACACACAGTGCACATTAATGGGGAGTGGATTGACTTAATATATCTGTGCATTCAAGCATCAAATCACTGTTGTGTGCACCAAAGTATGAAACAAAATGTTTGACAAATGATTATTTTTTAACAGAAAAAGGGGGGTATCATACTGAATCTTACATGAGTCAGTGGAAAAATGCATGGTCCTGTCTCTTGTGCATTTAAGGGTTAACTTATTCAGCAACTATTGGTACCACGTTAATTTGTACAGCACTCTGATAGCCTCTATAACACCTCTGATTTCATCTATGGATAAAGGAGGATGTGCCAGTGTACAGTTAGCTGTGGGGGGATGTTGTTGACTCAATCAATTTTTCCCCACAAGTCTTGGAAACAAATGTATTCATTTTCTTCTAAGTGACTCAAAACTTGATATCTCTGTTTTTCATTTCTGCTTTAAACTCTTTTACCTTTAATTTATCTTTAGAATATTTCATATGAAGCACTTTGATTTGTCTTGTACATGAAATGTGCTTTACCTCTTTTTGCCCTGAATTAATCATTTCCCCACACACAGAATAGTCTAGAGAGACTAGATTATTCCGCAAGCGTTTTCTTAGATTCCGTTAGGCTTTCCTAAATAGATGATGTCAAAGTAACATCTGTACAAACAGCTGGATCCCAGCACCATTGCAGCATGGCAGAAAATAACCCCAATTAACCCACAAATAACCCCTTGCAGCAGTCATTAGTTTTAGGAGTGAGTGTGTGTGGTTGTTTGTGTCTGTGTGACCCCCGTAACAAAGTGGTGACCAGTCCAGGGTATACCCTTCCTCTCAAAATGGGTGCAGGGATACTTTCATGCCTTATTTTTCATGCTTTTCTGCTTTTTTTCTCGAAGCTGCGATGCTGTTTTTTTTTTTAAAGTTGATGTAGTGATGCGATGCATGTCCTGTTTTCACTCCCCAGGTGTCAGAGCATGAGATGGACCAGATTATCGCTCGAACCACAAACAAGGACAAACCAAGCCGAGACAGACACCTGTCTCATTCCCAAGGTCTTAAATCAGTCAATGCTCACTTCTGACTCATTTCTCAGTGTTCACACACTTTATTCCTGCATCATTGTTCAGGTTTATGTTGAGGGGAGGTCAGTGGCCTGGGTTTTTGAGCTCTGGCGGAGTGATGTGATCAGGTTTTGCTTCCCTGGCTGTAATCTCCAGGTCCGCTCAGTAAGAGCCCGGATCCAGCGGGAAAAGACACGCAGGGAAACACCTCCCCAGCACTCAGCTGGACCATGAAAAGATTCCTTGAGCCTGCCAGCCGAGTGAGTACTCAGTCACAATTTCTGTTTTTATAGACGACTCAAACCCAATGCAGCCACATTTGCAGTCATTTAGTTTGAGGCCGTCATTTCAAATTTGCAGATTAATTTTTTCCTTTATTCTCAAACAATAAAGTGTTTGATAAAAGTCAATAACTTGAAAAATCAGCAGATTGTTTTCTGAGATAATGAAATAAAGGGGCTTGTTATGATGAGAAAACATCATAAATAGAAATCCAAAGATTCCTAATTTGAACTGTAAAATGAGCAGTTACTCTGTTTTCGTCAAAATTCGATTGTAGAAATTCCCTATGTGTTTATAAATTCTGGCTTTTCCTCTATCAGATATTAAAGAACTCTGCTGGTCAGAGCTTAATTGTGATGTGAAGTAATTCCCCAGTCACAATGAGAACTTGAACCTTTTCTGGAAAAAACAAAATTCCCTCTCAAGTTAAAACACATGAACTATTCCGTTATAACAAGAAAAGAATAATCTATTTTCCCACATAATGAAATTATAATCTGAGTTTTGTTTTGTCATCAGGAGATAATTCAAAGAGGCCACAGAGGCAAAAGGTTCAAGAGAGAATCCTACAGGTCACTCAGGCTTTAGTTTTAGCACGATTGCTGCGGGAGAATAGAAAGATACCAACTAAACAAACGGGGGTTAACTTATCTAAAAATCATTTGAATATTTCTTAAAATCATAACGTTTCAAAATGTCAGATGGCCATGTTGGACATCTACATGAAACCTGTTTGATTGTGGGTTTTAATCCTCCTTTTACGTGTCTGAAGCAGGGATCCCTGACCTCTGAGGCAGAGTTGTCTCAGTACTTCTCCCAGGACGCGTCCAGCCTCTCATTCCAGTCCGACTCTGCTCTGAAGAGCCCCCTCTCCGGTCAGCAGGGCTACGCCCCCTCGATGGATGGCGACTCCTCGCAGCCACACGGTACTTTTTCCTGATCAGGATAAAACAAACACTTAACTCATTGGCTGCCAAAGACGTCTATAGACGTCTTTTATCTTTTTCAACGAGAGTGTCTGGGGGACGATCTGCTAAAGCTTGTCCGTAAATATCAGGCTTCTAGACAGAGTATGTAGTAACAAATCGACCCTCTAGGGGGCAGTGCCACTTTTGATGGGAGATGAGCATAGACTAGGCAAATAAGAAAAAACGCAATGGTTCGCAATGAGAGAAATGGCGCCGGTGAGACGCACGTCAAGGAAGAACGGAATAAGGTAGAAACTACATTTTTTTTCCTGATGAAAGAAGAGAGTCTACTCTTTCTTTTGGTGTGTTCGGTGTTTACATAGTCATAGCACAAACTATTCTGTGGCTCTCGAAAAATCAGTCAAAATGCTCAAAAAACTCTGGCAGTATGGGACTCTCTGTTCTGAAAATGGCTGCCAGTCAATGAGTTAAAGGGGAAATATTATGCAAAACCAAGTTCATAATCATGTGATTGTGTACATGGGACTGTGGAGGGCCTATCAGCAGGCAAAGGGTGAAAAAAAATGACTCAGTCATGTTTTTTGTGGGCTGCCTCAGTCTGAATCCAGGAGATAAATCAGGAGGTTTCAGGGGTGGGTAGTTTCTGACTTCATTAGCTCTAGCTCATTATAATATTCCAGCCTTTCACCTGCATTTTGCCCCCCCCCCTCAGCTTACCCCGCCTATCTGTGGCAGACGTCGTGGTAGCGTTAGCGTTAGCACGGTAGCGTTAGCATGGTAGTGTTAGCATGGTAGCGTTAGCATGGTAGCGTTAACATAGTAGC